TTTTCTGATAAAAAAGATTTTCAGCCAAAGCTTTAAAATTTTTAAAATGCATAAAAACTTCACTTTTGTGACACATGGGATAAATTCAAGTAAAACGAGAATAATCATCAATAAAATAGACATAATAATTAAACCCCAAATTAGAACGAACTGGAGATTGCCATACATCAGAATGAATAAGTTGTAAAGGAAGAGAGGAATTATGACAAGCATCTGTAAAGGGCAAACGTTGTGATTTTCCTAACCGACAAGCAACACAATCATGAGTAAAAGGAGTACGGCTACATAAAAATTGTTTACGTTTAAGGAACTGTAAAATGTTATCACCACAATGACCTAATCTACGGTGCCACACAGGGCCAGACGCTAAAACAGAGGCTAAAACTAAGGATGGAGACTCTGGTAAACGGGAAGGATAGAGTGGTCCACTACTGGTAGCTCGTAGAAGCACCATCCCTGAGGCTTTGTCCTTAATCAGAAAAGAATTTTTATCAAAAATGACAATACAGTTATTATCTGCGCAAAGCCGTTTAATAGAAATTAAATTATATTTTAACTGAGGCACATGATAAACAGATTTCAAGGTGAGAGAACGACTAGAAGACGGTAATGTAACATCACCAACATGACAAATGGGTAAATGGGCACCATTAGCAACACTAACATAATTGTAGCCAGTGTAAGCATATTTATTAAGCAAAATACCTTCAGATGCAGTCATGTGAGCAGAAGCTCCAGAATCAAGATACCATATAGCCGGATTAGATTCTCCCGGAGAAGTCAACAGAGCAGGAGCAGAAGGCTGAGTAAAGCGTGATAGACAAGTAACAACAGAATGACCTGTAGAAAAGCAAATTCGACACACAACAGGATGGGGAACAGAACCAAGAATACTCCCATCTGATGGTAAGCCTGCAGAACTAGAATTAGTAACACCAATAGTCCAACATGTAATGCATTAATATTTAAATGTGACATGGCAGAATTAAAAATGACAGTACCCGTAGTTGGCACCCCCCGGATGTGGAGCATACCCATCTGGAACGGAGGAACCACCCCTGCCGCAGTGTAACCCGCCTGACTATGCTGCGGGTACCAAAACACAGGCTGCACCTGCTATCCTCGGCCTCTGCCCGGCCACCGCGTCCCCTGTCGCGTGCGTCCACGTCCATGGCCGCGTTGCGGCTGACCTGAAGGACGCTGCTGCTGGCCGCCCGACGAATGAGACCCATGCATCTGCTGACCCGGCTGCTGACTAGCGGACTGCCCAGGAAAAGAGACAGTGGCACCGAAAGCCTGATGGATGGATGAAGTGTCCTGCGAGCGGAGATAAAGAACCCGCTGCTCTTGTTCAAGGAGATGATTGTGAAGTTTCTCAAACGAGAAATTGTTAGGGAATAACGAGACAATGGTGAACAAGGATTCATACTCGAAACCCAAACCCATAGTAGTCTTGAGCACTTCGCAAGATGGAACAGGGCAATTAATAATAGCAAGATCATCAACCAAAATTTTAATCTACCTTAAATAATCATCCATAGACTGATCATGTTTCTTTTTTATTTGAGAAAATAAGCGCTTTAATTCCATAGATCTGGCCAAACTGGCTGACATAAATCGAGATTCTAACCGTTCCCAAATTTCACAAGAATGTTTTAAATCCCAAACATCAATAAGAACATCACGAAAAAGAGTGGCAAATAACCATGAACGGATGGTTTGGTCAATGTGCAACCAAGTAGAAGATTCGGGATTGGGAAATTGACGGTTAAGAACATCTATGGAATAAGTAGGAGGTACCTGAATTGAGCCATCAACCATGCCAAGGAGACCATGCGAGACAAGGAACGACTCAAATTGAGTCCGCCACGTAGTATAATCTTCCACCGCTAGAAGCTTGGTAGTCACGATGTTGGTGGCATTGATCGCCACATGTGATATGGTATGAGCAAGTTCTGCCAAGGGAGAATTTGAGGGGCTGCCCGCTGGTGTTCAAATAGAAGTAATTCCCGGTGCCCAACAAAGGTGGGCCCAGTGAATGAAGGAACCGAGAAGGGAGGCGGCTCAAGAGGAACTTGCTGCACCGGGATTGGTGCTGGCCAAGAAAACGTCGGCGGAAGGTGCTGAAACAGAGAATAGGGCCTGGAGGGTTGGGTTGGTGAGGCGAAGCCAGAGGAGATTGTCGACGGTGTGATGCCGGCGGATGACGTTGCAACTGCCGTGACGGAGGAGCTGGATGTGGCAGAAGTTGTCGCCATGGGAGGCGCTGCAGAAGAGATAGGCACAGAAGTCATCAGCTCTGCGGCGGTGGCGTAGATTGAGAGTCGGCGATGGCTGTAGGGTAATCCAAGCGACGCCGAACGTAAGGGAAACGTAAAAAAAAAGGTTTTTACTGTGCTCTTGATACCATGTGAGAATAATGGAACAAGATGTAAAGTACAATACTAATGGTATAATAATTCTATTACAAGGAGGCAGCGCCTGTTCGTCCCAACCGACCCAAAAACGTAAATCTAAACTAAAATCTCTTCCTTTTGTAGATCATTTTGACAAGGTGAAAGATCCGACGGACGGGAAGTGGTACGCACATTGCAAACATTGTCCGCAAATATTTTGCATGGGGATTTCGGCGGGCTACGACACCGTGCAAAGGCACTTGAACTCGAGGCACCCAACAGAGGCGGCAAAAATGAAGGGCAAGGGTGTGCAAACACAAATATCGAGGTTTGCAAATGATCAACCATTCAGTAATTTCTCGTACAATGATGAGGTACATTTAAAAGCAACGTCTGAATCAATTTGTGAAGAAAATTTGTCTTTTATTTTTTCATAAAGTCTTGCTTTGCGTGCTTATGCTCAAGGTACTTTAAATCCACAATTTCGAAATTATAGCCGCAAAACAATTAAAAAACAAGTTATTAAACAATATCTTTTGGAAAAGGAAAAACTAATTCATTTTTTTGCAAATTTTAATGGGCGTGTGACTGTTTGTAGTGACATATGGGAAGACACTTATCATCACTTGTATTATTTGGGTGTTACTGCACATCAGATTGGTGATGATTGACAAATGCATAAACGAGTTCTCGCTTTTAGAGATTTTAATGAAAGACACACTGGTGATAATATCTATATTCTATTGGAACATATTTTAATTGAATATAGTTTGATTGATAAGGTGTTTGTTATTGGCTTTGATAATGCTACTAATAATATTGTTGCTATTATGTGGTCCTTCTACTTTGATGAATAGATTTTTTCATCAACGTTGTGCATGTCATATTATTAATTTATGTGTGAAAGATGACTTAGCCGCAATAGGAAATGTGATGGAGAAAGTTAAGGGGCTATTAGATTGATTTGGGGAAGTAATCTGTAATCCACTGCAAATGCAATGACGTGCTTATTTAAGGTCCAAAAGTGTAAGGTATTGTGCTTTTTTTAAAAGATCTTTCTATTCGTTGGAATAGTACTTATAATTTAAAGATCATTTCCCTACTTTTATGAAAGAAAATTCTAATTATATTATTGAACCGGTTGAGATCGACACAATGGAGAAAATTTGCAATGTTTTAGTTTATTTTAACAACGCTACTCAAACTTTTTCCCATGTGTATACAACAACTAGTAACCAATTTTTTATAGAAGTTGTTAATCTCGCCAATGCTTTTGAAGATTTTTCTCAATCTACTTATGTTCACTATTTTTGTGATTACATGAAAGAAAAGTTTTTAAAATTTTGTGCTTACATTCCGCTTATATATTCTATTGCTTTCTGTCTTGATCCTCGTTTCAAACTTTCAATTATCAAACATTTTTAGAGTACTAGTATACTGCTTTCTACAGCCCGTTCCCTATGTACGACGAAACACCTATAGATCCTAAGCTCAATTCAACGAGGTTAGTAATCTATTTCACGCTCTATATAATGAGTTTCATGCACAATATGGTAATGTACCCACTCCCCCGACACCGAGTGCTTCTTCATCAAAAGGAAAAGGGATTTTTTTATATCAACAATATCCAGTCTTTTAAAAAAAAGTACTCCCCCCGCCCCATAAAATTCTTCTAATTTTCCTTTTTGGACCGTCCCAAAACATTCTTCCCACTTACCATTTTTTGACAATTTATGTGGCTCACACTCAATTTACCTTTTTTCTTACACAACTACAATCATACATTACAACTTTACTCTCACTTCCTCCTTAATATGCATGCCAAGTCAATGTGGGATTTTTTTGGAACGGAGGATGTAAATCAACTCCTGCTGTTGCATAAAGCTCGATTAACGAGTTGTCTTTATATCTAACATTTCTTGTTGAGTATAATGAAAAGGACGAGTTTGATATTCTCCAATGGTGGAAGAACAGAGATGGGATGATTCTGATTTTATCAAAAATGGCCAAACAAGTGTTGTCGATGTCGGTTTCAACTGTTGTCGTGGAACAAGAGTTTAGCGAAGCCGGGAACGTTTTGACTGACTATAGAACGAGGTTGAGCGCTTCATCTCTTGAGACATTTTGCTTCCATGATTGGTTGAAGGTCCGCGTAGAACTCAAGAAGTCAACATAGCACCGGACCATCATTTCATTGAGGAAATGACAACTGACATTGGAATCGACTCGGACCAATACGATAGAAAGCAGATCGTGTTCTGATCCTACATCTTCATCTGTTCCTCACACTGATATTCCTTATGTTTATCAGCAACCAAACAATAATGCTCAGCCACTCCCTCATGTTAGAAAATGGACACGTGCTCATCCACCTGATCTCATACTTGGAAATCCATCAAGTGGAGTGTGCACACGATCTGCTACCAGACCAGAACCGGGTACCTTAGTAGGCCAGGTCGGTTCCGGTCTCCACAAATTAAACCCGAGACCGGCTGGTCCGGGGCCGGGGCCAGGACCTGGTCCATCCCTAGTTCTAATCTAACGTCTTAACATATAGTTAAGCTCTAACATGTACGTAGTATATTTTTGTTAATGATATCGGGATAAAGAAATGGAGTTCCCTTTTAAAAATTCGATTATTAAATAAAAGATCTGTCAACACTTATTATTTTCTTTAAGCCCTACATAACTCTTAGAAGTGATTTAATTATGACAGGAGGAATCAAAAGATCTGTCAACATTTCTTATTTTCTTATGCTCCCTATAGCTTGACAACAAAGATTGAGTAAAAATCTACGGAGTAATATAGTAAGTACCATCACAAATTCACTATCACCCCCAGGATTAGAGCAAGTGCATTGTGGGACACCGGATTTGGGTCATAAGTTAGCACATCATCATCATCAACACATAGTTAATCATTAATTAGGGCTAAATATGCTCCAAGCATTTCCCCGGGTCCCAGCTCCATCACCTTCCTTATAGCCAATCCTGAACTGGAATCAGCAAATCATATTATTATAACCTGGAACGACGTATACACTTGATACGGTCCATCGTCAAACGCGAACGGCTTTGTCCATTGCTCATTATATCCCACCCCTCAACGTTCTTCGGCAAACAAACATCAAAGAGAATCTGACCAAGCACTCCGTGTGCATTCATCCGTGGTAATGCAGGCGTGTTATTTATAGATTGTTCATCACCTTTGTAAGAAACTGATAGGAGATCTCTGTCCTCAAAATCCTCTACTAAACCCAGCATCAAAGGGCCGCTTTGATGTGAAGCATTTCTTAGGCTGGATTTCTCACCGCGGGTGTGTTCCATAGTCATCTTCACACTTTTGAGTTGGAAAGCTCTTCGGGAATAGACTGAACAGGATTTTGACAAAGCTTCTGCCACTGCAGCTTTGTATTCTTCCGGGTAATGACGATAATGCCCTGCAAGAGATTTACAAGATATGTATAGCATCAGTTACTCGTTTAAAAATTATTCAACTCTACACATGCATGCAAAATAAAAACATGAAAAATATAGATTCAGAGAATGGTGAAAAAATCAAACTCACCCCCCCCCCCATCTTCTTACCCTGACTTAATGATTTGGGGTGATTTAACAAAATTTTACCTTTTTTTTTTACTCCAGGGGGTGTCTGGGGGAGGGGGCCTGGGGGCCTGGAGTAATCAAGGCTGAAACTCACTCCATTGAGTTTCAAACCCTTATGTGCCTAGCGGGTTTCAAACTCGAGACCTCTCACTAGGCACGGTAACCTCACAACCAGCTGGACTGGAATCAGGAGCGGACCCACAAAAGTCATTTTGGGGGGGTGAAAATATTTTTTGAAGGGTTCAAAATAATTTTTGGGAGGACGAAAATTATTTTTCGTATATATATACACTATAAAAAAAATTGTTGGGGGGGGGGGGGTGGTAGCCCCGTGGATCTCTACTATGGTCCGCCCCTGACTGGAATGCTTGGTTTAACAAAATTTTACCATTCTCGAAGCCATTCTCTATATATGTCATTACCCTAAAAACATAGCAGCAAGGTTTAAAGGTAACTACTACTAGGGAAATTATTTCCATATAGTTTTCTTTTCCTCGGAAGAAGCAAAGGAAAAATGAATTCGATTACTTTCTTTGATAAAACATGCGGACGTGCAATACAAATAAAAATAAATTAAAGAGTTTGAATATATATCTAAAATAAATTTGCTGTGTTTGAGTCTATCCTCTATTCTCCATTCAATTTTATTTCCTTCATATTTTCTTATTTATTCATTTTCCTATTCTCCCTAGTATGTTGCAGATTCCAATATCACTATATTCAGCCTCGAGGCTAAAGAATATATTTACCAACGTGAGGTGAGGAAACCTCAATTCTAAGTTAAAACCAAACATAACTAAAAAATTGTCCTCAACATTTTTCTTTCTTCCCGTAGCATATTCTGGTCACCCTAAAGGCTAAAGAACATATTTACCAACGTGAGGTGAGCTACTCCATGTTACAAGATTAACATCGCCCCCTAAGTCCTTCAGCCGCTGAGCAAAATTGTGGATAGTTGCAAGAGGAGCAAGATCATCATCTTCTGAACATAGAATGAGATAAGGCGCACCCAGACTCTGCAAAAAGAACATTGCCACTAGAAAGTGAACATAAATTGATAGCAGACATCATACTATAACAATATAAATGACTGGCTCTGATTATTACAATGGAAGCGTATAGAGTCTGCCAGTAATTTGCACGTTGTTCTTCAAATCTTCTCAGGAAGAGTGCATCTACAATGGAAGCAGATTGATTTGCAATCCATGTGATGAGGGGTGGAGGAGAAGAGATTTTGAGAACGGTTGGGTGAAGAAGAAAACGAGTTCCCAGATCACTGGTGAAGTCCACTGGACATGAATCAAATATATGGCCCGCAACACAGTCACGAACTAGACTGTATTCACAACCCTGTATATGCATATATAGTATTATTATTATATCAGATAAAAGTGCCTTACATGAAATCACCATTTACCTAAATAAATAGATAAATCTCAATCAATGAATAAAATTATATACCAAATTACTGTACTCTTCACATTTGCCATCAATTATCTGCAACAAATGTTTCAAGAATGGTGAAGTTAGATACTTGGATGAACAATTTTAGTTGACTAGCTACAAATATAGTGGCTGCTAGGTGGCCACATTGTTCAGCTTATCAGCCATTTGGCCAGGGTTTTTACAAAATAAAATGATGGACAGTAAGATGACAGATACTTTTCGGCTGCAATTGCTGGAGTTAATGAAGATGGCCACTTCAGACATTTTGAATTCCTCTATTTGATCAATGAAATATATGTCTATTTTTGAGTAAATCAGCCATTTCAGTCATGATTTGAGCAATTTTGGCTGATTCAACCACTCCATCCATTCTACACACGAGAAATGTCAATTATGATTACCTGAAGTAGCTTATACATGCAAGCTTTAGGGCCACCAGAGAAAGATGCAATGACAACAGGGCATGGCCTAACTCTTAGCTCCTACGTATAAAAGATGTGATAAAGCCATAAAGGCTGGTGTAAGCTGTTAGAATAACTCATATGAGTAGACAGACATATGTACATACAATAAATGACATGTATATGACAAATAAATGTCATTTAAAAACACTGGACAAAATATAACTTTTTAGCACAGTAACTATGCTAGTATAGTCAGAGTGACAGTATTTACCACTGATTTTCTGTTTCTTTGCAGTGACTATGCACAACCATTTTTTTGTTTATGTTTCGTCTTAGTAGTATCATAGGAAAAACCTCATATGTGTGTGTCCCAAAAAGGTCTGGTTTGACCAATGTACAACTGCAGTATTTTGGTGAGGTACAAGTGAAAAAGATAAAACTTATACTCCCTCCGTCCGATAAAATTCTTCCTGGTTTGACATGGATCGGAGTTTAAGAAAGTGGGAATAAAGTGGAAATATATGGTTGTGGTTGAGTAAGAAAAAGGTAAATGAATGTTAGCCACACAATACTTTCCAAAAAGCGAAATTGAGAATAATTTTTTGGGACATCCCAAAAAGGTAAGTGGGAAGAATTTTATGGGATGGAGGGAGTTTTATTAAACTTATATCATTATATGTAGCTTGTTTGTGATCAAAATATGGACTACTTTTCTTTTTGGACATAGAATTCTCGGAACTGGATCTTTTTTGAGGGGCGAAGGGAGTAATACTTTGAGCGCTAAGCTAGAGACTACATTTAGGACTTCAGTCCAAAAAGAAATAATTACACATATATGACTAAGATAAACATTGTTTACAAAAATGTGACTAGTGACTAGAATAGTAATGGAATCATAGTAACTTATGTTCAATTTTTAAACTTAAGTTACCATGACATTACATTGTACTCTCTCTGTCCCGCTAACAATGGGACAAGAGGGAGTGACACGCATAATAAAAAGTGATTTATGTGGTTGATATTGAATTAATAAAGTAAGAATAAAGTAAAAATGATTTGGAGCCACACAAGCTTTACCAAATTTGATATGGGACAATCTTAGTGGGACGAATCGATAAGGTAAAATGGGACAATCATAGCGGGACAGAGGTAGTAGTAACTATTGGTCATATTTTTGTAAATAAGTTTTATTTTAGTAATGTTTTTGAAAAAAACCATCACAAGACTGACCTCAACAAGCTCATTCAGAACTTCTAATGCCAAAGCTGCAGCTTTCTCTGGATAAAACCTGCCAAGGTTATTACATAGCCACCATACGTGGCAAAATACTTTGTCAATTTTCTCATTCTTGTACTCTCAATATATATATTTTTTGAGGCGTGGATAAATGCTTTAACTAAAGAGGGCACAAATTTAGCTTCGCTCGAAGCAGTGTGTGATCACATATTGTCAGTGTCAATTCCATATAGGGCATTGGAGGAATGGAAACCATGATAGCTTGTTTTGTGATATTTCTGATTATGAATCACTTTTCACCTTACTAAACTAATTCCAAAGGATGAAACACTTCATCACGCTAATCCGAGGACAGGCAAGATGTCCTTTGTTCATAAAACTTAGCTCCTTTTTTTCCTTCATATATTGCTAAGCGTTTGACGGCATTCATTTTCTAAACCAGTAAACCGACACCTCAACAAATGAAAGCTTAGACAAACTTCATCCAAAAGAAATATATTGAAATAGAAAATTCAGAGCAAAGCAAAGATCATAAACTAAGCTATTCTGTTTGCCAACTGCCACATATAAAGAAGTTAAAAATAAGTACCGTAAAACATGATATAATAGGTACGGCACAAAGTGGTGCCTTAAAGGACCTCACTAACAAACAAATAAATAATTTTTTTGGGCAAACAAATAAATAATTAAATAAATAAAAATTCAATTCTTTCAAAGTGCTTTCAGATTTCTTGCTTTTAAAAAAACATTTAAAGAAATTTAAACTGTCATTCACATTATTAGTGAATCCCAAAAACAAGAAGAAGCTAAAAGAAAGCTATACAACAGAAAATAACGGAAGTATCATATAAAAACAGAAATTAAAAGAGAACTAAGTTGACTGCTTGAATACTGTATGAAAACCTTAAACGAGAACTGGGTGAGTAATAAAATAGCCAACATCAATACATCATCCGTGCTGTAATTATTCGTTGCAAGTTAACAGACTAAAAGGCATCCACTGCATGATTGTAGTCTTGTAGCAGCCTATAACTAAATTACTGACAGCAATAAAGGAGAAACTCTGAATTGTGCATGACTCATGATCCAAGTCCATAGTTCAAGAACATGAATTTTCAGATATTCCATTATTAAAAGAAAAACTTGCAATAACTAGTTTGAAGAGAAAAAGAGAGATTGAAGAATAGGTGTAAGGAGGCATACGAATTGAGAAACTGGGAGTGGCAAACGAGGGAATTCCAACCCAGAGAGGAGTAGAGATCAACATAGTTCTTCACGTGCCTGGGTTGACTAGACATCCAAGCAAACACCACCACTATCCCTTCCACTACACCTCTATCCTTCCTCCCCCAATAGTGTCTTCCACCAAAACCCCACATCCTTCTTTGCCACACAAACCCCGAATCTAGAGATTCAAGAGCGATCAATACAGACAGCCTCCCCCACCAAGAAAAGAAAAGATTTGATCTTGAACACAGAAATAAGATTTATTTCGATTCTTTGGCTCTCAATTTCTTTAGCCTTGGTTTATGTGAGAAAGAGAAAGATGGTTGAAGCCATTTGCAGGTTTAAGTATTGGCACAGAGATGTTAATGATGATGGTGATGACGTGGAAGTAATGAAGCGTGACGGCCGCGCTTAGGTTCTTCGTAATCTGGTTAAAAAGAAGTCGTGTGACGGAAAATAGGAGTTTGGCATCAGCGGCCTGCCACATCCTTCATGTTCACGCACCCCTAACTCAGTTGGTTGTGGGAAATTTGTACCAAGCCACCAAGGTTCGAAACCCGCAGCGATCGTGTGGAGGTCACAGAATCTGAAACAAGACTAGGTCTCTTTACCGCACGGGAAAAAGGTCTAACATCATTGGCCCGACTGAGGGGCTGCTGGGGTGGGAGATTTGTACCCCAAAAATTCGACCCCAAAAAGGTCTAACATCATTGGTCTAACATCATTAATGATAAACCAGTGGAACTCCTTTCTTTGAGTGCTTCATTGGACCCCAAAAATTCATATGAGTCATTCAATACCAATGTTATTTGTACTCTTGCAATGAAGTTCTATCCCGAAGATTTTAGTAGTCAGGATATTAGTGATTTGGAATTCGAGATGCAACACTATGTTCATCATGATTCATGATACAAAGTTTCAAGTATCTACACTTGTTGAATTATGTTAGGAGTTGACTAAGAGCAAAAGATCTGATTCATATGTTATGGGGAGCAAATTGATTCTCATTGTATTGATCTTACCTTACATGTTGTTAATGCAACATCAGAACGATCATTTTTTGCCATGAAATTTCTAAAGACAATACTCCGTAACAAAATGGCAGATAACTTTCTTGCATATTGCATGACACTTTATATTGAAAGAGATATTACTCTTAGTATAGATGTAAACTCTATTATTGACAAGTTTTTTGTTTCAAAGCCTCGTTGAGGACAAATTTAGTGGAGAACTCTTATATTTTATTTTTTTGCTTATTTTGAAAATTTTCAATGTATAATCATGTAAGTGCTTCAGCCCACCCCAACCTGAAATACTGGATCCGCCCCTGCATATTTCATGCAATTTTTCACCAACGTACTTGCTAAATTATCAAATTCGATATCTATTTACAACTTTTACCATATTTATGTAAAAAAAAAGTTAAATGAGTTTTACAAAATTTCTTTTTTCAAATGAGTTATAGTAACATACTCTATTTTTTTTCAGTTTTCACACCTTATATTAGTTATACATGAACATATGGCATGTCACGCCACATATTCTAAGGATGTTTTTAATTGTACTGAAATTTTTTGATCTGGTCTGGTTCAATTTGGTTTGTTTAAGTCTGACATGATCTGATCTGGTAGATGTTTTGTTTATGTGTATTTTACAATGGTCTAAATTTGATCTAATCTGAGACTGAAATAATTTCTAGTAAGACCATCCTTAGTTGCTATTCCCGTTCAAATAAACAAAATTGTCTAAAAACAGGATATTCAAAAGAAAAGGATAAAAAAACTCTTATTGCTCTAAATAAGTGCCAATTAGGACTTTGATACGGTGTAGAACATTACTTGATTTTATTATACAATAACCCTTAGTTTTTAATTACAATTAAGAAACAAACTGTACCTTTAATATATATACATGGTTTATATGTATAGAAGGGCACAACTAGGGGTGGACCGGTTCCAGTTCGGGCCCGGCCGAGCCTCGGTTCATGAAGGGGAGGCCCGGAACCGGCCCGGGTAACCTCCGGGTCCGGGTCGGGCCGGGCCTCGGTTATATTTTTTTTTTGGGGCTTTTCCTAGTTAACCCCCAACCCTCCCCCTCACCCCTAAACCAACCCTAACCACCTCAAATGGCCCAAAATACCTAGCCCAGCCCAAATACTTAAAAAAATCAAAAAAAAAAATTAAAATTAGCCCGGTCTGGGCCCGAACCGGCCGGGCCGGTTCACCTTTTGAAGGGTCCGAGTCCGAACCGAGATCCCACCAGGCCGGGTGGCCCGAACCGGCCAACCAACTGGTTCACCGGGCCGGTCCGGGCCCGCACAGTAGCGGGCCGGTCCGGTTCCGGGCCGATTGGCCCGGCCCGAGTCCACCCCTAGGCACAACAGACTTCATGTGAGTTTTGCATGAGAATTAAGAAAGTGAAAATTGTTGGTGAAAAATTATGCATATAAGAAAAATATGTAAGAATATTGTGAACTATAAATTCTTTGTCTAAAATGAAAAAAAAAACAGATCATTTTGAAGTGGACAAAGAAGTTGGAATATAATTCAGAAAGGGAGTGACTATTAAATGGAGTTCCGTGTCTTCAGAATTGAAATGTTTAGAAAAAATTACATAAATATTACTAGTTTAAAACTCATTTACATTAATATTACTATCGGTTATCCGCAATTTAAATTAATAGAAAAACCTTTTTATTATTCCTTCTCTACCCTCGCAAGTCGCAATAACGGTGCCTCAGTTTCAATCTCTTTTAATAAATATACGTAGTAGTTACTAGAATAGTGCCAGATGCACCACCGTCACGTTGGCGTAAGTTACTAAAATCTCTAAACTATTTATTAGTGATTATACCTCCATTACTGTATCTCATTCCTCCATTCTCTTCCATTAATTACTTTCTTATCGACTGCCATTAACACCTTAAAATCCTTAAATGAGTCTCCTACTTTACCGTAAAGTTCGTTGTACTCATACACAAAGCTTCACTTACCAATTCAAATCAAAATTCATCAAAATCAGGGTGATTGTCGAAACTATTTCTCTCCCAAAACCATTAAAATCATTTTGAAACATTCAAAACTACATCTTAATCATGCAGAATAAATCTTATGTCCGTGACTTCCAGGCCTGAACGTGTTCCCTTCTCTAGTTTACAACTGATTTGAGCCTCAAATAAATCGTCTCCCACTTCAATACGTTGGTAATGGAGCATAAGAGCATTCCGTAGTTACTTCCACTTTTTCCGCAATCCGGTGAAATATTTCTTGTCATTTCCGAAAATTAAGTCTTTTAATCTTGTACCCTGCATAACCGTATTGAGCAAAAGGGTTAATTCACTTCTTTAATTATCGTACTCCGGGTGTCTTAATTACTCATGGTCACTTTTTTGTAAACACTATTAGGTTTGGTAATATATGTGTAAAAAACTCAAATGTTTATTACTCCGAATTCTTTTAACTTTTGCCCAAAGGTAAAGTTTGACAATTACTTCAAGGAACTAAGGAAGCGAGAAGTATCAAAATTCGGCGTGATCATTGAGTTTCATAATCATGTTTACCAAACATCACGTTTCAAGTCTTTCAACCAAGACTGCTATAATTTGAAAAAGTACAACTTCTTTTTGGATGAAATCATCTATTCAGTTACCACCCTAACCGCACAAAAACTCAAAAAGTAGACAAAGAAAGTTGTTAGTCACCAACAATTTGTTAAAGCATTGATTAATCCGGAGTAATGGTTAACAATGACCCTTGATTTGGTAAGCCGTTGGCTCAGAGTCCCCTCACAAGCACTACTTCAATTTTGAGTTTTTACACAAATTGCTCAAGAATTTCTCAACCCAATGCTGCAACTATTGGCTGATCTCAATGATAAGCTTTTCAATGGCATCATTGGTGAGAGGAATGCACAGGCAATCCTGACCATCAGATTTCCTCTTGCTCTTAACCAACTCATGGTCCTTGAATTCTGTCAAATGTGCATTTAAGGTGAGTTGGCTACTCACCAGGAAACGCTCCCTGCATATGGTGTACAAGCTATTGACCGGCATCCCTGCAAAGAATAATAAAACCATTTTTAAGACTTTAGTTTACTTTTGGAAAGGCTAATATTCCACTTTCGATGCCACAACTATCTGGACTCTCATTTTTTCACTGCTTTCATTTTTCCTGGCTGTGTGTTAAGTCATCGGCAAAGTATAGACATGCAAATTGATGTCTTGAGTTATGATGATTATCGTATTCACTTAATGATAGAACCACAAGTTATAATATGAGAATTTGACTAAAATAAAAAAAGAGCACATGGATGCTCTAATGAGCCACCAAATTACTTGACATGTTGAACTATCGACTTTCTTATGTTCTTTTATCATTTTATCTTCTATCTTTCTTATGTTATGCTATTTTTATCTTATATTTATCTTTATCCTAACCATTTTAGCTTACATTATCTTTTTATTTTTCTTCTCTTTTTTGCTCTGATATCATGGATGGATTCATGTTAGCGGACCCCAAAATCTTTTGGGAATAAGGCTGGGATGTTGATGTTGTTGAACTATCCATGGCGGACAATTATAATCATAAAAACCAACATGTAAGATATTTAGTTACTTTTCTATTAGAATGACCTGTAAGTGCGATCCTATAGAAAGATCCTTTCACTATGGCATAAAACAAATGTATTTCACTACTGTCCTTTCCGAAAAGAGCAAGAGTGACAAAAAATACATACTATGCATCAAAAGCTAAAAGTGGAAGTCAGCCGATAGTATTGCAGCCTTGTGGGATCAAAGGTGATTTTTTTCATTTGGGAAGGGTATGGGGGTTTTGTAGGTATCTAAATATGAGGGTAGGAACTACTTGCCTTCATCATCAGGATGGGCCAACTGATGTTCTGCGAGAACTTTAAACACGTTCTGAGCATTAGGTGTCAAACTCTGAAGCACAAGGGAAGCCGTCTTCAAACTTTGAGCACTACCCCCATGTGCAAGAATTAGAGGGAAAAACATTCCTTCAACATTGTATGGCGCAAAAGTGGGTACATGGAGCCAGTACCAGTTGAACTGTGTATGCACCATCTTCTTGTCCCATACTTCCCATATACAAAGAGACAGGCATGAGACAGTAATAACTAATAATAAGAGCTTGCAGGAAGGAAGAATGGCTAAAAACAACCACCTTCCATAACAATATACAATTTGAATATTCTTCTGCACACAAATACTCTATAAAAAATTGCAGCAGCACTTTGATTTGGCAGTTTGCTGGAGGGGATGCACGGAAGATGTATCTACTACTAATCAGTGGGATATGCATCACTTATTCATATGGGTCTGTTTGGTGCACGGAAGATGCCAGGGAAAGAAATAGGGAAGAAAAATATAATAGGAATTTGGAAGGGGGGTAATATAACATTTGTTTGAACCCATTTTTTTTAAAATTTCTTCAAACTTATCCATATTTCTATCTATTTTTATTATATGAAAAGTGAGAAACTAAATATATGAAATTAGATAAAAAAAAGTATTAATCATAGTTGATTTTCCATTGAAAGTACACAATAACTATACCCCTTCTGCTAGAATACAAACGGCAACAAGGATCAGTTTAAATAATACTGATTTTTCATTATGAATGCACACAATAAGGTGATACTATTACTTAAACATTTTACCATCAATGAAAACACAATGGCATTTGGAAATTGGAATAATCCAGAAAGAATCCCAATTCATGACATTTAAAATAAATTAAATGGATAATACTTACAAAGAGGAGCATTGATATTATCAATAGAAGCAACAATTCGCACATGTGAACAAGATGCAACCCTTGCAAGTAACTGTTGATTATCAGGCTCACGCAGCCCAGGCCCATCAATATTGTGAACAACAACACAAACTAAGCACTCATCCTTGTCATTTGTATCTAGGGGTGGCTCATTCAGAAATCCAATAAGGTTGTCCACTGATCGGGTATTGAAAGGTTGCTGATTTTTAGACTTGCTGCCTGAACTTATCTTTTGCAATGCTTTCAGCTGGTCCCACAACAGCTCAGCTAAGGTTATCACTACCTACAGAGCAAGCCAAAACCATATAAAGGATGCTTAAAAAAACTAACAAAACCTTACATGCCCCCTAAAATTCCTTACATTAGAAGAAAGACCATTCATTGGACGAAGACACATTTTAATGAGATAAGCACTATGTGCTGTTCCTTTTACATGTATGCATGACACAAGGAATGTTTTTATTCTCTTAGTCCCAGTAAAGTCTAGTTTCAAATATTATATATTTCTTGCCACAAAAAAAAACTCTGATTTATCAAATGGTAATTTTCTAAAAAAAGAGAACAAAAGCTTCATTTATAAATTTAGAAATGCCGACATAATACTCAAAGGTAACAGATATGTAAGGTTCATGATTGATGGACGTTGTACTTTGCCAAGTATTTAAAAATAGGTGCCTTCGAATGTGTGAAGTATGAATGAGTATTAGAGAATAAATTTGTATTACATATTTACATTTGAAAAGCTATACTTTGAATATTTTATGAGAAGATGAGATAAAAAGAATTCAGAAGTCAGTTGAAACAATAAATCCATAAAATAAGAAGCTTTTTATCTAATCTCTTATAGTATATCAACCTTAGTCACTACTTAAATAAAACTTGCCTGCTTAAGATTGATTGAGGGGAGATAACCATTAACCACGACAACTGAATACTCAGTCAAAGTGGTTGAAGCAAAATCATCAATCAAGGCCTTCTTTGATCCAAACCCATGCATCAGAAGCCCAAAACCACACCTGTAACATTATACGAATCAAATTAGAAATCCAAAATACATCCATAGTGAACTTGAATATCAGATGGCTATTAGTGAAATATATACATAAACGAATAGCACGCCTTAAGACAAATTTCCATTCTGAATACAAGAGCTTATAAGTTGCAAACAAATCTTTAATTTCATTTTCGTGTTTAGGTTCAATGTTGGTAGCAGCTTCCCTCAATTCCTGCATAAAACAACCAAAGATGGGAATTGCTAAATAAAGCATTCATGGTATGGACAAATGCATAAAGACGTATATAAATAATTAAATATACTCTGTCATATATTTAGAGAGGAGGGGAGAAGAACCTCTTCACCAACTAATTGGATGTCCGAGAGTTTACGGGCAGATTTTTTCCGAGAAGAGCCCAATTCCTTTGAAAGAAAATAGTTCCTTGAGAACCCAAACTCATCTTCTTCTTCTTCAATGTGATCCCCTTCCATATTTATATCTGCAAAACCACCAGTCACCAGAAATGTGCTATGGTGCTATACAGGGGCAGATCTAGCATTTGAATTGAGCGTGGGCCAAAAATTTAATAGATATAAAATAACTTCAATTGTAACAAGGTCAAATACAAAAAGAAATTTTACAAATATTTTACATGAACCTAAGTTTTCATCGAAGTCAAATAAAAAACATCACAAATTCAAGTCTCCAACAATCCACCACATCAAATGATAAATAAGTTAATAATAAAAAGATCCTCAAGGGTAACTATCATATTAAAAACAATGGGGTTATCCTTAAATACTCCCTCCGTCCCAAAATGAACTTCAAAGTCACTATTCACATGGTCAACTTAAATTACTCTTAATCTTATGTTTTATATATCAAATTTTTATCAAATTTATATTTTTTTATCATCCTTTGTAGCGGTTTTAATGTAGTTTCTCAATATGTAAATTTTATTTACTAAAAGTAATCTGAGTATGAACGGGGATCGAGTTGTTTTATCGTCGGTAAAGCATCGTAATCCGAAATGGGAAGTTAATTTTGGGACGGAGGTAGTACTATTTTAAACTTTAGTTAAACAAGTTACCAACCACATTGTTGTGATAATGACATATGATACATTCCAGTTATTCATGTTGAGAAATTCTCTAGAAACATTTATGGTTTATTCAATTTCTTGGTGATGTAAGAGAAATTTGAGAAGATGCTTATCAAACATAAATGATACTAACCGTTCCTGTTAAAAACAGGAATGCTTTCATTGTTATTTATAAAAAGCTGCCAACAGAGTTGCATTGTAAAAATAATCAAATTGATATATTAATTCGATCACAGTCTTTTTAACACTATTTCAGTAGCTATCTTTACACATCGAAGAGAAACTTAAGCTTTTTCTATAAGCTTTAACGGTCTAACCCAATCTAAGTTGTTAGTACAATAACCCAAACCAGCTTTTATTACAAGACAGAAATTTAAAAATGAGATTAAATTCAACAATACAAAATGAAGACATAAGCTTGAATTGAAAATTAAAAACAAGACAAAGACTTGATTTTTTTTTTACATTTCCTTTGTTCCTAAACTTCACTAATTGAAATTTCAGAAAACTACAGCTAATTAATTGAACATAAGATGGTCAATTGATAATAGAATCTGAAATTTTCCTAAACACATGTCATAAAAATACCCTAATTGAATGTGAAATCTTTTCAAATTTGAACAAAATCTGAAATTTAATTTTTAATTTAGCTTACCTAGCTGAGAAGTGAGTCTGAAAGACGGCAATTGGAGTTTTTTCGAGCGTGCAGGTGCAGCAGACAACGTTCCGCGAGAGAAGCGCTGGCCGCAGGGCAGAGGACTACGCCGTTGGGGACGATGAACGGCCGGCTCGCTACGGTCCTTCCGGAGCAATGATGGTGACGATATATCGACCTGCTAGACGGAAGGCAGCGTCCACTCCTAATTAGCAGTGGTGGGATCCTTCCCGGGTCAGGTTTTTACTAAACCCTAAAATTACTCCCTAAGATCTAGGGTTATGAAAAGGGACCGAAACAAAGTTCATTATCTTCTGTCCTTGTCGGATTTTTGGTAACATCGGGTTCGATCCGGGTTCGAGTTGAGGCGGTTAAGGTTCGAACATGAAATCATCTCATTTTTCCTTTATATTTTAAAACATATTTCAAATAAAATTAATCAAAAATACAAACCGCAAATAATAACACAAATAAAATTAATCAAAGTCACCAGCATTTTTAATCCAAGGAAGATAATTATCTTCATATTTTGTTTAAGATGCATATAAATAAACAATATGGGTTTTCTAAAAATATTACTAAAAAAATTATGGATAAACATATGACTAATGTAACTATAAATATATTTTTATAATCATTAAAGTATACAAAATTGAACATATTTGTAGTCGCTACAAGTTATTAGTTCATTTGTCATACACCATGATTATAATCATATATTAGGAATTATTTATAAATTAGATCCGTATATAATATTGATTTTATATTACAGTTAATTGTTTTGGGTTTTTATCGGTCTGAGCTGAGTTATAGATTTATGAGCCCGTTTATGAGCCTGAATATTCGGGTTCGGTCCGAGTTTTATTATTCGGGCTGATCAAAAAGAAAAAACCCGGACTGGGAACATTATTCAGGCCGAGCCAGGGTCGGTTTCCGGGTTTCGATCCGGTTTTTTCCACACCTACTAATTAGCGGATAACGTTTTTACAAATAATAATTAGGCCTCTAGACATGTGTTAGACCCGTAAGGGGGCCGTGCACGAGTGAAAAATCTAAGTGTGAATTTTTACTGTGTAACAACAGGCCCGTAAGTATATATCACATGTACGTTTTATGTGATGATTGCGGGCCTAATCTATATACGGAGTATAATCTAATAAAGCAAACCCCTAAAGCGTCGAGGAACGACATCAACTCGCACCCTGCCGTCTCGTCCACCAACTGATCAATGTTGGGGAGAGGGAACGGGTCCATGGGGCACGCCTTGTTCAGGTCAGTGTAGTCAACACACATTCTGAATGTCGGCGGTTTCTGTGCGAGGACGACGTTGGCCAACCATGTTGGGTACTTCACCTCTTTGATATGTTTGATCGATAGGAGCATGGCGACCTCCCCTTTGACGAAGTCCCGCCTGTCAGCGGACAAGTAGCGCCGCTTCTGTTTGACGGGCGCGGAGGCCGGATCGACGGTCAGCCGGTGAGTGATCACCTGGCGGCTGATGCCGGGCATATCGTCCGGGCCCCACGCGAAGACAACGGCGTATGACCGTAGGACGAGGAGGATGGCGTCTCGCTGGTCCTGGGGGAGTTGCTTTCCGACCCTGAGAACCCGCTCCGGCCGGGAGGTATCCAGAGGGATTTCCTCGACCTCCTCGGCCGGCTCCGCATGTGGCCTCTCCTCGTCCATGGCGACGGCGGCCGTGATGGTGTCTATCCGCTGTCCTTCCCTTTCGGCCGGCCTCGTCAGCTTGAGGTAGCAAGCTCTGGCTATCCTCTGATTTCCTCTGGCGTAGCCGATGCCGTCATTGGTGGGGAACTTCAAGCATAGGTGCTTCATGGAGATGATGGCCTCCAAGTCCTCCGGCGCTGGTCGGCCCAAGATTAGGTTGTGGGCGCACTGGAGGTTGACCACCATGAACTCCATGTCAATTTTGGCATGATGGGGGCCGTCACCGACTTCCACGGGGAGGACTATCGTACCCTCGGCGTCGATAGAGTCCCCGGTGAAGCCGGATAACGGGGTCTTGATCGGCTTCAGCAGAGCTCTGTCCAGCTTCAGCTGCTTGAAGGTGTCTAGGTACATCACGTTGACGGAGCTCCCCGTATCGATGTAAGTGCGGTGGATGATGGAGTCACCGATCTCACATCGGATGACGAGGGCGTCCCTGTGTGATTCCGTACCCGGAGGCAGATCCTTGTCGGTGAAGGTGATCGCCTCCGTTCGCTGCTTCTTCGGCTGGGGGGGGACGTGGGACACCTCTCCAATGTAAAGGGATTGGGCCCATTTCTTCCTCTGAGTGGCGGAGTCCCCCCCAGTGTTCCCGCCTACGATGAGGTGGATGTGATTCTTCTTCGGCGGAGGCTCCTCGAAGTCCTCGTCGTCGCTGAGCCTACCAATCTCGCGCTTCTTCGCAGAGGGTTCGCCCCCACGTTTGCCGGTGTTTACCCAAGTGTTTTTCCGTGGGCCACCTTTGACAAACTGGGAGAGTTCCCCCTGGCGAATAAGGCGCTCGATGGCCTTCTTCAATGTGATGCAATCGTCAGTGTTGTGTGACGAGTTCTTGTGGAACCGGCAGTACGTGCCGCCCTGCTGGATGGCCAGGACCTCCTCGGCCGGCCGAGGAGCCTGCTCGATGAGGCCTTGCTTCTCGGCATAATCGAGGATAGTGCCGACCGGGTGGGTGAGGGCTACCCCCGGCCGTTCCAGCCTCGGCCGCCAGTGGCGGTCTTTCTTACCTTGTCCACCAGAGCCGTGGCGGCCCTGGGCACCCTGGCCGGCCGGGGACGGACCCGGGGCCGGCGAAGGATTTGTCTTCCTGGGGGGATGGCCCCCCTCTCTCTTGTGACTGTGGAGCTCGTCGGCGTCGGCATACAAGCCTCCGCGTTGGAGCGCCTTGGCGTACGACCTCGGGGGGTCAGTGATGAGACTCCTGGCGTACGGGGAGCTGCGGAGGGCTCCCTGGTACAAGGCGAGGAGGGTACGCTCATCGGCCCCCTCGATTTCCTCTGTCTCCCTCGTCCACCGGTCGATGAATGACCGGAGGGACTCCTCGTGCTGCTGTTTGACGGAGAGGAGGTGGGTGAAATACTTCTTGGCGCGCTTCCTTCCGGCAAAGTGAGTGAGGAAGCGCTGGGCGAGATCCTGCCATGAGTCGATGCTTCCTTCTGGCAGCCCGTTGAACCACTCGTACGCTGGCCCCTCGAGAGTAGAGAGGAACCAACGGCAGAGGTACTCGTCGGACGCGTTCACCATCAGCATGTTGTTTTGATAACGGCTGAAGTGCTCCTGGGGGTCTGATCGGCCATCGTAGGACTTGATGGCGTTCCCCCTGTATTTCTCAGGGATGGGGGCCGAGAGGACCCTGTTGGTGAAAGGGGTCCTAGTCCTGACCTGGATGATGGGGTCACCCCGCCCTTCGGCCAGCTCCCTCTCCAGGGCGCTGACTTTGTTCATGAGCGCGTTGAGGCCGGGGTCGTTGGAGGCGCCGGCCGTAGGGATGTTGGCCGACAGCTTGGCCTCCATCTGAGCCAACCTCCTTTCCAGCTGGGCGATGACCTCGTCCCGGGGGTCCCTGTCGGCCGCGGCGACACCCGGCTGGTTCCTCAGGCGCTCGTTGTGGGCCGCGTTGATCTGGTGACGCACGTCATCCTCGTGCAACTTCCCCTTGCCCTTGTCCGGGCGGGGCTGGTCCGCTGTCCGGGATAAAGACCCCAAACTCTCCCTTGGCGAGCCAGGACGAGGATCACCAATCCGTCCCGCCATCCTCTCCGAAACCGGACGACGGCGCGTGTCACCTAGCCTATTGAAGGCAGAGGCTTTTCCACGCGCTGGGGTCTGCCCGGGCCGAAGAGGGGAAGCAGGGTGGGAGTGGGACGACGCCGTGTCCTGGGCCACAACCCCCTCATTGTTGCCTATCTGGTCGGCCAGTGGTTGGGGATGAGGAGGTGGAGTGACGTTTCCCCCGGTCCTTGGCAAGAGTGCGCTGAGGACGGTGGGATTCTGAGCCAAGCTGGCGATGATAGCCGATAGTGCGGCCTGGACCTGAGGATCTACGGACGGAGAGGCCGCGACCATAGGCTGGGCCGAGGCGTGGTCCGCTTTCTCAGCTCGTTTCTTTTCCAGGCCGAGGCGGGCATCGGGGACTCCGCCGTTGAGTTGGTTGCGGAGGTCCGTCGTGAGGTTGAAGGCCTCCTGGAAGAGGTCCCCTCCACCGACCTGGTCGGCCGTGGCGTCCTCATCGTGCTCCCTGGGCTCTTGGTCCTCAGGGATGACTTTGCTGACGAGGTTGCGGTTTGACTTAGTTCTCCCCATGATCAGTGGTTAGCTGTGCTTGGTAGCGACGAAGGGTGCTAACTTGATTGTTCTAGCTCTCAACGAGAGCACCAAATGATAGAGTATTAACTCCTAGATTCTAGAGAGAAGTGAGAGCTAGAGAGAGAAGTGCAATAATATGCTTCAATAGAATGATTTTGTAACCCCTATAACTACTCCCAAGGGGAGTATTTATAGAGAAAATTAGGGTTGGGCTCCCAAGCCTTGGGCTTGGGAGGCCCATTTACAACTGGACCGCTACTGGGCCGAATACAAAGCCACTAATGGGCTGTACAAATGAGTAAGTATAGGATCCGGTTCTGGGAGGTCCTCGTGGCCGACGAGGGCACGGCCGACGAGGGCACCCGGGTTCCTTGGACTCAGGATCATAATCCGGGTTGGCTTCTTCTCGGCCGACGGGGGCGTCTTGGCCGACGAGGGCGCCACTCTGTTGTCTCGTGCTCTGTTCTTCCGAGTATGTGGGTCCTGGGGCTCAGACCCATATACTCCATCAAACCCCTTATGGTATGTTTGGGAGTTGGTTTTGGAGGGGAGGGGATGGTTGACAAGAGTTTATGGTCCTCCCTTTCATGTTTGAGAGTTAAAAAATATGGAGAAGATGTTTTGGAGAGTATTTGTAACCCTACAAAACCCTTCAAATTCTCAATTTTCAAGTTTCCCAAGTTGGAGGATTTTGAAGAATAACTAATTAAATGACAACTTTAGCTCAATTTTAACTAAATATAAATTCAACTATTTGAATTCGTCATATATGTGAAGATGTGAAGTGGCTTTAATTATAATTCACCCAAAACATTTATGTTTGGGAAAACTATCAAATAAGCCCTCGTACTATACCGAAAAAGTCGATTAGGCCCTCGTACTTAACAAACACTCAATTAAGTCATCGAACTATTAAAAAACGTTCAATTAAGCTCTTTCGGTCGGTAAGTAACCGGTTTCCCGGTTAAATGTAACCTGT